GTACCACATGGTGACTTCACTACACAATGGATACTGAAAATGAACTGCATCTAACTGCACACAGCAATATGCAGGAATCTCACAAACGAAAGAAGCCAGGAATGTAAGAATACATGCAATATGATTCCATTTATAGAATGTTCCTCAAACGCGTAAAACTAATCCATGGTTTTAGAAGCAGGGGCAGTGATTACACTGGGGGTGGGGGCTGCAGCAGTGACAATCAAGAAACGGGGACTGGGGTTGATAACGTTTTCTCCACCAGGGTGTCGGTTGCACGGGAGTGTTCCGTTAGTGAAGACTGAGCGACCCGTACTGTTATGCTTTTCTAGGTGTACTGCATACTTCAGAAAAATTATTTAGGAGCCCCTTAAGAAAACATTGCTATTATTAATCTCTTGCAACCTACAGTCCAGTTTGGGGGGACGGAGAGAAGGAGTTGAAATTTGCTATTTCAACATACCAAATGTGCTTTTGAGATCAGTGCTGGCTCCCCCAAACTTCCTACAGAGATCCCGTGGAGGCACCAAACCGCATCCCGGATGTCCTACCTCCGCGCAGTGCTGGGTCTGGCTCAGCGCCCGGGTTGGGATGGCCAGGACGGCTGGCTCTTCCAGTTCGGGCGCTCACGCCAGCAACGGGTCAGGCTCTCCCGGGGCTAGCTGGTGCGCTGCTTGCCCAGCCGGCTTTGGCCGCCTGGGGCCTGCCTGGGAGGCGTTGCCTGGCGCCTGAGCCGCGCGTCCGGCCGTCGGGCGGCACCTGCGCAGCCCCTGGAGGTAGCGAGGGTCCTTCTGCTGCTCTCAGAGCCAGGCTGTGGCTGGTCACTGAACTCTGTCGACTCACCGATTCACCGACAGCTTGGGCCCCAGGAGTTGGGAGAAGGCGCCCGGAAAATTCCCTCTGGGCCCCTGACCCTTTACTGCGCAGGAGGAGGAGGAGGAATGAAACCTTGAACCACCCCGCCTCCCGCACACGCATTTATCCAGGGAAGCCCCCGCCCACTCGACCCCACCCTGGAGGTGATGCGCAGCTCCAGATCAACCCGCGGTGCAGGTCCTGGAGAAACCCTTTCTGGGTCTGGTTTCCCTCCTGACCCTATGCTCGCTGCAGTTATGGGCTAGCGGGGATTCATGGCCCCGCCAGCAAGTCCTTTCACCTTTCCCTTCAGTCGAATTCCTGAATAGTCAAGGTCCAAGCCTCTGCTAAGCGTTCCTGGACCTGCAGGCAATCACGCTGGATGCCGCTAGCCCAGTTCTGCCAGTGGGACACTGTTGGGTCTCTGCCATGAGCATCTCTACAGTGTTGGGGTTCTGAATCCTTAGGATTGGCCCACTGCTCCACGGCATCACGCGGACTTGATTTTCAACATACATACAGCGCCAGCCCGCCTGATGAGTACTAGACTGCCTAAGCTTGTATATGGGTCATCTCATTAATTTTTTCAAAGCCAAAGTAATTGGCACATGAGTATTTATATACCTAAACATTTGATTAATTGTACATTTAATATCTGTGCGTTTTATTGTAGGTTTTAAAAAATCCTGAGATGCACTTAGAAGGATACCCATTTTATAGAGGAGGAAACTAATTTTCAGAATGCTCCTAAATTACTCCAGGCACATACTGCTGCAGCCGGTGGTGGTGTTGAGATTAGAATGGAGGCAGTTCCTAACCTCTCAAAATCAGTCTCTTCAGGAAAAAAAAAAAAAACCTCTTGCGATCTGGAACCTATTCCATCTCTCCCACCAGTCCAGCCTGCCCACCTCCTGAGCTGGTATGACACAAGTCAGCTTAATCTGAGAAGGAAGGAGGGCTTGAGCCAGAAGTGACCTCTGAAATTATAGACTTCACCCTTCCCCTCTGCCTTAAAGCTCAGAAAACAGAGCCCAGAAAGGTGACTTACTTTACTTGCTCCAAATCTCATGGAATTTTAGAAGGACTGCTTGATTCTTGCTGGCTCAAAGGACAATCCCACGAAAAAGCAGTTTGGACTTGGGAGGGGGTGCCTAGGGAGGAGCTCAGGGAAGATAGAGCTGTGCTGGTTAAAGGTTTCCACTCTATAATGTTCCTGGCCCTGGAACCCCAGCATTGACCAGTGCGGAAATCCTTGGACAAAGTGATGGGAGCTATTTATACCCAGAAACTGCAGGCTCCAGAGCAGGGTAGAGAACAGGGAGGGGGCTGGTCCAGGCTGGCTTTAAGTATCTTAAGACACGCAAACCACAAGGAAGCCAGTCCACAGAACCAGCTGTGTTTCCTCTATGAGGGTCACACGCTTCTTCCAGAACAGGAGAGGATGCAGAGTGAAGGAAGAACTAATGTGGGCCAGGAGGAAACCGGGCAGGGAAGGTGAGGGTCCGATGCTGGGAGCACTGAGAGGCCAAGGCCCTGCAGGATACAGGACTGGGTTGGAGGAAAAAGTAGCTGCTTACTTACAAAAACCTAGGGTTGTCAGAGACTTCTGCTCCTATAGTTAAGGCACTGAAATTTGGCCTTGGGAGTTATATGGCTGGGTATTGATGACCTCCTATTCTCAGCACCTAGTGAATGTAGAAGAAGCCCAGTTGGGTCCCAGACCCTATCTCCAAGTCCTCCCCAAACCCCAAACTGTGTGTCCTGGTATCAAGGTCTTAACCAAGGTCTTATTCCGCTTCTTTTCCTAGATTTTGAGCTGTAGGGTGAAGTGTAACATCTGTGGGAAGAGAGGAGAAACTATTTCATCTTGTGGATACAGAAGGTGGGACCTGGTTCTGAGATTAGAATGGCAAGAGTCCTGTTCAGCATTTCCCTCATAGCTGGTGCCCAGTTCCACACCACTGGGGCCACCTAAAAGGCTCTGGAAAACCACTGAAGGGAACAATTGAAGAAGCCTGGAAGGAATCCCCCAACCCGCTTAGCTCCATGAGCTCCTACTGTGATATCTGTCCCAGAGGGAACAGATGCCAGTCAGGTCCTCCACGACTTTACATGGAGGGAAAGAGACAAATAAATCTTTGTACTACATTATGTCATGATATTGGAAAATACCTAAGGCTCCAGTGGTCCAAATGAAGGAGCGATTTCCTCTGCTTGGGTGGTTCAGGAAAAAAGCTGGGCTTTGAAGCAGGAGCAGGAGTTCATCAGAAAGATGAAGGTAGAGGACATTCCAGACCCGGGAAAGTTGTGCACAGACATGGAGACAGAAAGAAAGCTGTTTTAGATTGGCTTCCTTTTTGTCATTCAGATAAAACTTAAATGTCATCCTTTCAACAGGCTTTCCCTGACCACCTACCTACTCTCAAGGGTCCTCAGCTCTCAGCATTTGGTTCAATTTCCTTTTTAAAGTGTATATAGATTTTTACACTTATTTATTTGTCACACCCCACCCCACACACCTGAAAACAAGCTTCATGAATCTAGAAATAACTATTTTCCCCACTCTCCACCATTCCCAGCATCCAGAACAGTACAAAGAAATATGTGCCCAGTATATATCATTCAGTGAATTGATGGATGAATGACTTTCGCAGCCAGAGGCAATGAAGAGCCTCCCTAACGCTTAGACTAAGCAACCCTTGGGAAGACGAACTCCAGGAGAGGGAGCTTTGGAAGAGGGGGGTTTGGGATATCTTGGGGTAGGATAGTGGGAGGCTCTGTCCCAGCTCCAGCGCGGAGTGAGGGAGGAGGAAAATGGCCTCAAGGAGCTGTGGGACAGGCAGTCTGGTGCACTAACTCACGCCCAGCTCCGAGGTCTTTCTGCCGCTGGAGAGAAGAGGGAAGGGAGGGTCTTCGCCCCCCAAACACCGCTTCTGCAGTCTCCCGCTAGGCTCTTTTGGACTTGTCCAAGTCGCATCCTGGGCGGTCAGAGGGTTTCGCAGGGCTCCCTAGCCTGCCTCCCGGCCTCCCTCCCTCCCCTCCTCCTTTTTCTTCCAGCTCCTCGCGTCTCTCCAGCTCCCCAGCCGGGCGGCCCCGAAGCAGCTAGCAGCCCCCACCCCCTCCTGTAAGGGCGAAATTGCTAAACTTGTAGCAATAATGACCCTGCATTCAAGCCGCCGACTCCCGCTGAAAGTCTCTGCGCCCAGGCCTGCGCAGCCTAATCAGCGCGCCCCTCCCTGCTGCCCGCCCAGCCCCCGTCCCCTTGCCGCCCCTTCCCCCAGCGCACAAAAAAATGGGGAACAAAACCCCCACGCATTTCTCTGTCCCTCTGTTGAGCAGACTGCTGCACAAAGCCCCCGCTCTGAGAAGCAATGGGGAGCTCGGGGGGGACGTCAATCCGACGCGCTGGGGTTTTTGTTCGCGCAGGGGACCTCGCCTTCCTACCACACCTTTTGTTCGGGACGCCAATAAAAAGCCATTCTTTCCGCACCTTCCCGGCCCGGAGCCGCCTTTCAGTGAGGCCCGGCCCCACAATGGCGCGGCGCTCTGAGGCCTCCCCATTCACCCGCCTTGGCACGCTCACAATCGGCCGTGTGGCAGCACAGGCCTCGCACAGGCATTCTCCGCAAGTGACAAGGAGCCGCATAAAGCCGCGGCCGCCGGGGGAGAAGGGAGGGCGGCCGAGGGGGAGAGATCGGCCTCGGCGGGGCGCAGTGCAGCGCCCCCGGGCGCGCTGGAAGCCCTGGCGGCGGCCAAGGAAGGAGCCGCCTTCGCGCCGCCTGCGGCTGGGCCTGGAGTCGAGGTTTCCTCGTTCCTGGCGACCCTCGAGGTGGGGCAGTCTAAACCTTGACCGAGGAGAGGAAGGTCCAGACAGTTATTTCAAGCATGTGGGTAAAAGTGGGGGCAAATCAAAGCAGGGACCTCAAAAGGCTCTGAGTCTGTGGCGGGTCCTAGCCACAACAGTAAAGATAAATTAATGAACAAAGCCCTGAAGAGAAACTTGCAACCTGGGGCCTGGCTCGGGAGAGACCAGGCCTCCCATTGCCCAGGGTACTGCTTTTCTTTACCACCTTTTCCTTCCCTTCCCTCCCGGTTTAAGAGATCCCTCCCCACATTTTTTGGTTAAAGAGTCTGTAGCCGGCCAATAGTTTGTAAGTATTGCACCTTGTTTATTGACTCCTGTAGTGTATGGCAGCGGGTGTGTACACGGCGTGTGGATATAGTTATATATAGAAATCATATGTGCTGAATACAGAATACGAAACAGAAAGGAAACCTGGTAACATCTCCAATGGGCCACCAGGTCCTGGATTAGCTCAGCGCCCCCTCCCCCAACTTTTGATCTCACTTGGCTGGTTTTCTTCGCGGAGTCCTGAGTCCCCTGACAATCTCTGGAGATCTGGGCCAAAGTCTCCGCTGTGGAGGGGAGGCAGTTGGAAAACGAAAATCCACTGTAGTGTGGAGCTCTGAGCCCCACAAAGGGGGCAGACGGTCGGTAAAGCCCTGATATTTCTCAAGCCACGATCCCCATTTTTCTCTTTCATGCCTTTCTGTTTTCTTTTTCTTTTAGGTTCGGGTTCCCCGCCAACGCTTTGCGGAGGCCACAGGAAGATGGAGGGAGAGAAACCCTTCTTGTTTTGGGGAGAACAAATGGCAGCCAGAGTCCCAGCCTCCTGCATTCCCCTCGGGGCCAGGGTAGGGGTTAGAGTCCTCCCTGGCGCCCAGGCAGGGAGTTTTTTTGCCAAAAACGGTTTTGGCAACCGGACTCGGGCATCCTCCTTGCCCCTGAGTCGCCATCCCCAGGCCTCGAGTGGGCTGCGATTCTGAGCCCTGGAGAGCGAGACATATGTATACATATATATTTTAACGAGGGGACCTGGCCCTTGGGTCTGGCCTTTCTCCTGCTTCGTTCCCGCGGCTCCAGGCTGCGGTAGGCGCCCGCCGCGTGATCCGACTGGTCCTTACCAGGCCCGTATGCCCTGTAAGGTACCCTGTGCACACGCGGTCCCGGCTGTAGCACCCTGGTGCAATGGCTGTGAGCCGCCACCGCCGCCGAAGCCTCCCAGGTTGCTCACGTTCATGAAGGGGCCGCCTCCGGTCGCGCTACAGGCGGGTTGCATGGTGGTGGCCGCAGCAGAAGCCCCCCCACCGCCACTGCCGCCTGCGGGGTAGGCACAGCCGTAGCTACCGCTGTAGGCCGCGGCAGCGGCGGCCGCTGCGGCGGCGGCGGCGGCGGCCGCGGCGGCGGAGTTCCCATAGCCGTACGCAGGGAAGCTGTTGTACGAGTAAGCGCCAGCGCCCACACTGTACGGTGCACCGTAGGCCGGAGCGCTGGGCGTGACGCACGGTTTGCCATCCCGCACCAGCACCGGTACCGCCACACGGCGCGGCGGCTGCGGCGGTGCATGTGCTCCCAGCTCCAGAGACTTGTCCTGCCGCTGTCTCTTGCACTTGTACCTGCGATTCTGGAACCAGATTTTCACCTGCGTGGACGTAAGCTTCAGGCTGCTGGCGAGGTGCTCGCGCTCGGGCGCCGACAGGTACCTCTGCTGCTTGAACCTGCGTTCTAGCTCAAAGACTTGGGCTTGTGAGAAGAGGACTCGGGGCTTCCGGCGGCTGCGTGGCTTTGGCCTCTCGCTCTCCTCCGCCGCCTTACAGTCTCCGGTCGTCTCTAGAGGCTTCTTTAGCTGACAGTTTTCTGCGAGAGAAGCAAAACAACAGCATCCATTAGCTATTCCTGGTCTCTCCCGAGCTTCCCCTTATTTGGTGGCAGCTCGGAGCATATGGTAGTAAATGCCTGGACTTTTTAGAAAGTTTGTGGCTCCTGGTGCCATGACACACTGAGGCGACAACCCGAGTACCCAAAGAACACCCTCAGCGGGCGGAGGCACTTTTGATGGGATAGAGTAGTTAGTGCGCATTTATTAAAACTTGAGCATCTGCAAAAGAAGAGATTACCCTGTATTAAGTGTGCGACTCAACATGCTAATGACTATTTTCAGAATGAAAGCTACAAATAATACAGTATTTGCAAACTCGTTTGCCTTCCACAACACCATGCATAGCTGAAGGTGTGAGACATGCTGGTATTAGGTGACCCATGTGCATGGGTTGCACGAAAATCTTTCTTTTGGGAAATGCATTGCTCAGGGACAGTTCTTTGCTTATAAAAGACTACATGCAAATGTGTGTTGTGTGTTACCTTAGAGAGAAAAAGAAGTTTGATTAACTGATTTTAGACAGTTTCATGTCTATTTTAGGCTAGGGTGAGCTGTCAGAGCACAGGCCATGGCCTCAGCCACATCAAACTTCCTCTTGGAGAAAGAGATTCTTTAACTCTGTCCCCTCGGAAACAATTCTTTGGGAGCCTTGTTCAGTTATCTGATCACCCCTCCTAATTCTCTTCTGGTTAGATATGAATGGCTAGATCTGGCACTAAGTTCGGTGTGTTCTCTATTGGGCCTACAGTCTGAGACACAAAGCAAACGTTCGCCGGGGGCCCCAGGGGTGTGAGTGCTACAGATCACACGGAATGAACTGTATTCCCTTGAACTCTAGGACTATCCCCTCCTCTCTGCAGCCATGAGAACGTTGATCTTCAAGCAGAGAAGTCAGAAAACCACCTAGATGGTCTCTACCAAAGTTCCTGCACCCTTAGGACACTTGAGACACAACCTGCTTGTTCTGTCTTTTTGGAGAAGGGTGGACACCTGGCCTCAGAGAATTCATGTTGGAGGGACAGTGAAAAACTAGGTCAGGCTCCATTTTTTTTTTTTTTTTTTTGAGAAGAGCCTTTGCGATGGGGGTCAGGGGTGGGAGGAGAGAAAAAATATTTCTAGATGTTGGGACTCAACAGTTAAGCCTGTGTTGCTTATCAACATCAGGGCAGCAATAACCACTTTCCCTTCCCTAGGGGCTGCATCATTTCTGCCCCCATCTGGGGGAGTAATTGTCAGGGCCACCAAGTCCTTCTTTCTCTCTCTCTCTCTCTCTCTCTCTCTCTCTCTCTCTCTCTCTCTCTCTCTCTCTCTCTCTCTCTCTCTCTCTCGTATCTGCGCTTTATTGAGCTGCTGTTAACCAGGACCCAGGCGTGACCCCATCCAAAGGTTAAAGGGGCGCGTAACCTGCCTGGTAAGGTTTGTGGGTTGATTGTGGGCGCTGTGCCATTGCTTCAGGTGTGCCGGTGCGTTTCTTTTCCCCCTCTACTCACTTTGGTTCCGATCTCTCACGACCTCCTCTTCATGTTCCTTGGGCCCGCTGCACGAGTCTCGAAGGACCGAGTGGACATAGCCCTGGTGACAGAGACCCGAATCCCCCTGGCCGTCGGCTGTGGCTAGTGAGTTCAAATAAGACAGTTTCTCCCTTTCTTCTTCCTCGTCCTCCTCCCCTCCGTCAGAAAATTGCGTTCCCTCAGCTGCGGCCAGCATACAGGGCACGGAGTGGAAGTGGTGCTCCAAGTCTGTCTGCAAGTGCGCCCCGTGTAAGTGCTGCTGCTCCAGATTCAAAATGTCTTTGACTGAGAAAGGGGTGGAGGTGACCGGGCTTGGTAACATCATCAGGGCCACTTAATTGTCCAGTCCAAATACTCAATAAATCCCGGCGGGGGCGGGGAGGCAGCGCGGCCACTCCAGCTCTCCTTCTGGACTCTGCGGTTGCTGCCCAGTCGGGTTTTTGACAGACGCGGTCCGGCTCCAGTCTAAATCGCCTCCATTGGCCGGGATCTGGGGGTCTGGGTTTTGTTACAGCCACTGCAGGGACTGGGGCCGGGGCTGAGAAGCCTCTGTCCGAGGGCCTTGCGTCACGTCGGAGGCGGGGCCGGCACTCCGGCCTCCCTCCTCATTGGCTGTGGCTCACTCGGGCCACGCCCCCGCATTCACCAAGTGGATTCTGGCAGCGCTAACCAGAAATAGACAAGGACTAGTATAGGGCCTTAAGTCCAAGTGGCTGCAGGAGAGGTTGCACCACCGACTCGAGTGTCCGAACCACCGATTCTCACTCCGCCCGACTGCACCTTCCCGACCTGGGCCAGTTCTGGAAGGCCCGCTGTCTACGGGAAGGATGCCACAACAGTGCGGTTTTTTCAGGTGCTGCGAGGACAGGAAGACTTCCTGGCTGGTAAATACCCGGCGCTGCATCAACGACCAATGTTTCATCTATCTCTGAGCGACGTGTCAATTTCCTACTTCTTGTCTTTGCTCAAGAGATTCTTCCACATGGAACGTCTTTCCCGCCCTTGTCTCCAAGAGTGGAAAGCTTTTCTTCAAGGCTCTACTCAAACACTACCTCCTCCAAGGAAGCAGTCCCTGTTCGCCGGGCCGGAAGTCCTCTTTCCCGCCTCTGAACTTGCAGCTCCTGTTAGCAAAGGACATTCGTGTCACTTATCATTTCCCATTTAGTTTATAGCTTTATGTGTCTGGTTGCCTTAGACTGTGAGCCTCCTGAGGGCCGGGTCCGGGTTGCACTTGCCCAGGGTCCAGGGTTGCCTTTGCCCTTGTAGCCCTTAGTTGCTGCACAGAGCAGGTATGTGAAAGATAGGATGATGGAGTTCTTGACTACATTTTGGTGTCCGAGTGCTCTTGCTTTGAATCTGGCCTCCGTCAGTCTGTGGTCTTGGATATTTGTTTCATCAGTTTCTTCATCTTTAAAAGGAGACAGTAATACTCGCTTTGGGTTATTGTTCTGATTAAGTAAGGTAAAACATTCCAGGAGCTTAGTGCAGTTTCCCAATGTTAATTTCTCATTATATGTCAACTACCGCTATTCTGCATCCGAGGTCAGCGCAGTGTTTGTTGACTGTATTAGTGGTAAAGTGGCTGGAGTGCTGCACACACTGGGTGGCTTCACATGGTTTTGAGAGCAGGATCTGTCCTCAAAAGGGAGGTTACCCTGCCGTGGCTGCCGTTTTGAAATCGGGAGTCTGAATCTAGGCCTTGAATCTTGGACACTTGTTTCTATTCTCTATCCACGGAGCTTCTGGCGCCCTCCTGAGATTCTGTTGTTTTCTGGGTAAATCTGTAGACTCCCTAGAGATTTTGGATTGTTCCACTCGGTGGGAAACCCCCCCCCCCCATAGGCTTTCACCCGTTGCCAGCATAGTCCAGTGAGTAGGCCCGGATGCTGCTATGAGCCCACAGAAACACGCGTGGGCAACGCTGGCCTTGAAAAAATTGGAACCGGTTCAAATCCAACCGTGGCATCCTTCATCTGGTGGCCCCAAACTTTTTTTTTTTCTTTTTGGACCTGAATAGCTAATTTGGGAAAAGCTGGCCTCAGCTAGAAGGAACAGGTGGAAGGTGTGGGGGCTGTGGACAACGTTCCCGGGAAGGGGCAGGCACTGTGTTCGAGTGGGAGGAATGGGGATTGAAAGTTGCCTTGCCGGGAACCGGTAATGCAGAGGAGTCGGTGCCCTTGGCGGGGGAATGAAAGTACAGCCTGTTGGGAGGGGAGAGAGGCGGGGCTGTTCAGGAGAGAGCGGAAATGTTGAGGGGAGGCAGCCCCTGGGGGCGCCTGGGGAGTTGAGCTGCCGCCTGGGCCACAGCTCCGGGGAGTACCCTTAGGACCAGAGCGGTGGGGAGAGACCATCTGTGGGCAGGGCTCTCCTCCCCGAAGGCCATCCCTCAGCCGCAGGACAGCCGGTTAACTTTTGCTTAAATCCTGAAACTGTTGAAGCCTCAGGCGGAGGCTGATGTCTCCTAAACCGGCCGTGAATCTACAGAGGGAAGAAGGCTCCCGGTTTTGCAGCGGATCCCGAGCTCTTGGGCTCAAAGATACCGAGAGAGGTGGGGGTGAGTGCGCGGCACTGCAGGGTGGGGGACCTTGGTGTATGTGCGTCACCGCGGCAGGGTAGTAGAAAGAAGGAAGCTGCGTTCCAGTCTAAGCCCTCTACTCCCACTCCCCAAGGCAAAACCATTGAGGGGAAATGTTTCTGGTCCCTCTGTACCCACTTTTCTTAGCTTCTTAGGTGGTTTCAAAATTTAGACAAAAGAAAAAAACAAAACCTACCGAAATAATTTTTCTTTCATCCGTTTCCCACAGAAATCTGCGAGTTTTTTTTGCTACATTCCTTGCTTCTCAGCGCGCTTCCCTCCTAGGCTTTACCCAAACTTGGTCCCAAGAACCCGTGTCTTAGAACCGTGATCTAGACAAAGCGCAACTCCAGCGCCCTGAATACGGTGACACGCCCACACACCCGCTGCTGTCTCCCGAGCCCACCAGACCGTCCTATCTCTGCACGTGCAGAAGACAGTCTCCTCCCCTCCCACGCGGGCGGGTCTCCACTGCCGCGCCTGACACCCTCCTATCAGGCCTCGGTTCTCTCTCGTGGATCCTAAACAAGTATCTTCTAGGCAGACCGCTGCGGGACGCAGTCACACCCCTTGTTATTCAATTACTGGTTAGGCCGAGTGAGTTAGAGGCCCGAGAGGCTCCCTGTGGAGAGCCACAACCTAGGGGCCTAGCCTGATGCTTCTGTGACTATCTGGTTTTCTTTCTCCATCTTCAGACCTGAGCAGGGCTGATCCAACCATAGGAGGTTTGGACTCTCGATCCAGTCCTTAGGGTTGATCTTTGTTTTATGGCCAGAGCAGGGATTCCAGTCATCTCCAGCTACCTTTCCGGATTGTCCAGGCTCCCTTTAGTCTGCCAGTAGCGGGGCTTCCCAGCATGGATCCCAGCCAGGCCAATCCCATCTAGGTGGCTTCCCTTTCCCGCTCAGGTAGCTTGTCCCCTGACGAAGGTGGGCCAGTGAGCCGCTGTCGGGGAGAAAAACTCAAGTGCGATGGATAGTTCTACAGCGGTGGTCGCTTCGCAGGAGTAGCTTATCAGCGTGTGGAATCTGGTTCGAACGCATATCCAGTTACTCCCGTTCTGGGGCATTTACATTCTCTTGTCTGAAAAGGGAATCTTTGAAACCCGGGAGCTGTACTCAACTAATAATAGGTCTTCCTTCCAGACAGTTTAGCTAATTGCCGTCAGGTAAAGTAAATATGGCTGCATCCACAGAAGCGTTTCCTTTTATTTTAATCGGGTGTATCTGCACTGGTAGCTTTCCTCACATTATACATTTTATACAAACACCCTATCAGGTATTTGATTAAGGATCATAGTTAAATGGTGGCAAATTCCAGGAGGGGAAAGAGCTATATAGGTGCATAAACAATAAATAAAATTATACCTTTAAGAAAATCCGTGTGCTCACCAATACAATAAATACATTATCAAGTGAAAATGTAATAATTATTCAAAAACTGTAACGTGGTCCTATGTTATTCTTTACACATTGCTTAATTAACGTTTTTAAAATATAGGCAGTTAATAGTTTTAGTTCTGTATGCCACTGTTTATCTTGTTGCATAAATAGTCATTTAATTATGTAACCAAGGCCACAAAGAAGCTGAAAGTTATCCTGACTTCCTAATTTAAATATAGCACCACAGTCAGAAGTGATTTTCTATTAAAGCAGGAAAAAATCATCCTGTGATGAACTCAACTATCCAAAATTATATCACATTTCAGGTGAATTTTTCACAGTTTCTTAAAGCTGTCCCAGAAATTTAATTTTCATTGTATCTAACCAAAAAAGAAAAAGAAAAAAGAAAGAAAGAAAAATATCCTTGTTAGCAACAGCACTAAATAGGTTTTTGTTAACGGTGGAGTGTGTATTTGTGGATTTTGTTCTTAATTGATGGATGTCAGAAAACTATCCAGAAGTTCTGGGCAATCTGAGGCAATAGCATTTTAATTGTAAGAAGGCTGAATACACTTCCTACTTTTAAAGACATGTCAACTGGGTTGGTCAGTTCTAGAAAGCATTAAACTGATCTAATTTCTTGGAAGTATTTTTTCTTTGTTGAAGTAATTTCCTCTGAGGGATTCTTAAATGCCGCCGGGAGCTCGTAGCTTGTTTTGCATATGTTTGCATACTTGCCAAATTTTTCTAGATTTTTGTTTGGAGTTGATTCTGCTAAATGACCCACCGCTTCATTTTTCTGGAAGAAAAATCAATCCAAATTCAGCGAATCTCATAGTTCTGAGTAAATTACAGGCCCTTCCTAAGAAAGCAAGTTTCGATTTCTCAGCGAGAGGACTTTTCACGTCTACCTACGCATGTCTGGTCCCTTCCAACGATTTTAAAGATAAAAATATAAATTTAAAATGTCTCACCAAACCAATTCTGTTGCCAATAAAGCACTTAACCCAGAAAGACTAACTGTATAGTTTGTTGAACGAACATCAATTCAATATTTTTTTCCAAACATAAATGCCTAAATAAAGAATGCTTGTATTATACAGGCATGTATTTGTACTGATGTGTGTGCTATTTGGGAATGCAGAGAGAAGTTTTAACTAGGGGATTAAATTGGAATTCTGAACACATTCCTAACTTTTTAAAGAATAAGCGCCAGTTTAACTTCCTGTAGAGAATTTCAACGTCTGTAGACCTTTTAAAGTATAATCTTAACTTCAGAAGAACTGTTACAGTCTTCTGCAGAATTAATTCACTGAAACCAGAGCGCCTGCCTGCTCTGTGCGGGTGGCTGAGCAGAAGAGGGGAAAGAGAAATGTGTGTATCGTGTTCCAAGAAGCAGAGATTCTTCGTATCTCTTCCTATCGCTATCTTCTCAGTGTTGTCTACTCAACCGCAAGCCAGCTCTGAGGAACCTCGGACTCCCGGAATGTAAAAATCTTTTCCTAAGTTTCTCTGGGGGTTACTTTGGAACGAATATCTTCAAACTATTTGAGAACGAAAAAGAACGTTCTTACTTGGAAATAAACGTTTGCCAGAGTTCTGTGGTCTAAATAATATTTTATCTGGCCCTCTCTGTGTTCAGGCTGGAGGTCCGGGACTTTGGTCCGCCCCGGGAGAGAAATTGCCAAGGTTAGGCAATACTTTTGCTGTCAGTAGACAATGGACAACAGGGAGGGCATAGCCACCCACGGGCGCTCGGCTCCTGAAGTTCTAGGGGCACACAACACTTACTATTGCTCTGAGGCAGCCCCCGCTCGCCCGAGAGGGCGCGGGTGTGTGGGGTGGAGTGGAGCGGTGAGCTATGGGCTTCGCTAGGAATTGGCTGGGGATCCGACAAACAGAGGACCGAGTCCCCAGTTGCGCACGGCGCAGCGCAGCCAAGGGCACGCTCCCAGGGGTTAAAAGAGGGGCAAAGCGGTCCAAGAACCAGGTCCAGACCTACAACTCGGGGGCCATCCGCGTCCTACAGAGATTTCGGTATGTCAAGTCCAAGGACAGGGGTTTGCGGAGTACAGGCTTCGGGAACTGAAGGCCTTTCTCCCTGGAGCCGCTCACTAAGCCGGCGACTTTATCCACGCCGACAGGGATTGCGAGTGCTGGACTTCCTGCCGAGCAGGTCTCTCTCCACTATCCGCCCAGGTCCCGGACTCTAGCTAACAGGGCGGGGAGACCTGGCTAGCCCGCGCGGGCAGCTTCTTTGTCCTTCCTTGAACATTCCTCTAGATTCCCGAACTGCCCTTCTCCCGACCTTCCTGCGCCCGTGCCATCCCGTGGGAAGGATCTTACCTCTCTGAGGCTAGCTGCATCCAGAGACCTGGCACGGCATCTGAGCAGGTACCTCAGCACTCCAGTGGCTTTCCTCCTCACAGACCTCCTCCTCCTGCTCTGGGTCAATCTCAACCCTTTCAGCCCCCTCCTCTTTCACTGAGTCCATCTCTTTCTCGCCACCCCTTCCCTTCCTCACTCCCCCTTTTCCTCACTGCCCTACCCCCACTTCCTTTCTCTCTCACCTCCTCTCCCAACTCTCAGGCTTCCATTTTCACTTGGTCTCCTCCCTACCTGTTGCTTCTTCCTTTTCTCACCCCCACCCCATCTTTAGTTCATTCCCTCACTTCTTAACCTCCTGTACTCTGATGCTATCAGGTTTTTTGATCCTGGTCCCCACAGGTGTTGAATAAAAAGAATCTGGGGTTGCAAAGTAGGGCTGCATGGGTCACACTAGTTGAGCAAGGTCCCACTCCTGAGCCCATCATTCCTTTCTACCATCCTCCCTGTGCCCTTGAGGCTGCTCATGACCACGCCAATGCATCCTTGGATATGTGAAAGGAATGTTATTCTCTGCACTGCTTCAGCTCCTTAAACATTCCCTACCTCCCAGTCCCCTGGCCCTCAGTAAGGGGCCCTAGCTGGTCTGTGGGGCTCCAGGTGGCAGGTTGGACCACCCTCCTCATGGAAATCCCCACTTCAGGCAGATCCTCAGGAGCCCTGTTTCCTTCT